CAGCCCCGCGACACGCTATGCTGCTGTGCCTCACTGACATTGAGGTTCCCAAATTGCAGATACAGAATTATTAAAATTGCCGAGGTAATTTCAGGATTTGGTAACAATTTCCATACACATTTCACTCCAACAGAGAAACATTTGAGAGCACCATGTCCCATCTGTTCCATGGGCCACACCAAGGTCACTTAAACAGGAGATTGTGGTATCATGTCCATAACAGGAGCCTCCTATTGAATTATAAATGAGATGCATTCTGTCACAGACTCAAAGACATTTCTGTGTAATAGAACTGTGGGGTCACGGTAGACTGTACCCCTAATTCTAGCCATCCTAACAGTATATAGAGCTAATTTAACAAATCTTTCATCCAACATTCTGTCTGAAAAAAGCATTGCTCCAACACCATACAGTAATTTAAAGAATTGTTTGTGACCTCTGTGGATGTCAAAATGTTGCCCGCAAATATATCACGATACGTTTTCTAAATTACAGGTGTAAATTAACTAAATGGCATAACGTTAAAAATAAGCGCTGTTGTTTGGCGGGGGGTCTCCATGCCACCTGACAGCTCTGCACTGATATTTTGGAAGCCGCGGGCATGTTTGCGTCGCCATCGCAGAGCACAAGCACACACGCACACGCACGTTTGTAGTTATATCTTTGTGGGGACTTTCCAATCATTTCCATGTACATAACCCTAATCCCAACTATGACAATCTTAACCTCAACCCAGCCCTAACCTTAACCATAACTAACCAAACAAAATACAAGATTTTTGGCATTTTTATGTTTTTGATTGCGATCACAGATCTTTGTGGGGACACAAAAAAACAGGTTTTTTATTACATCGTGGGGGGCATTTTGTCCCCCACAATCTAATATAAACATAATACACACACACACACACACACTGTGGGAACTATTTTAATGATCTAAAGCACACAGTCAGAAGTGAACGGCGCAAGTTCTTTTAGGGCGTGACTAACCCCAAAAGGGTTGTACTTAGTCTCATAATTAGTCATGGGTGTGTTTGGGTTGTAACATGCTATAAACCAATTGCAATGTGATCTGCCATTCAGTTTAAGTGCCATGTGTGCTTGCACTTTGGCCAATTGCTTTTATAATGGCAGATTTGCCAGGTATTAGAAATGAGTGCTTCTCTGCAGAGAAAACGGATCTGCTGGTGCAAAAAGTAAAAGTGAGGGAGCAGACCATCTATGACAGCAGCAGGATTCAAGGGCTACATTCCAATGGGACCCGTGGCAATAGAGTGCAGCGAGGGGCAAATTTTCATTTTTGAATGCGGGAGGAGGGGGATTGGAGAAGTGACTGAAATGTTTGCCAGAGAATTCAAATAAAAAATCCTCTATTTCAGCCTACTGCTCAAATAACAAACTATTACTTATGTTTGTGAGTGAATAGAAAGTTGTATCAAAATTCTAACTAAATAAAAGAAAAATATGCCTAATATGTTTTTTTCCCAGCAAACCTACAGTATCCTGGACCTTTAAGAAGATAGTTAGCAATTAGAAAATCCCTCATCACCTTGGTGTCACCCAGCTAATGATGACAGAACCAGCACAAAAATCTTTAATGCCCAAGTGTGTAAGTGCCTGCTTAAGGAAAGGTAGATATAAAACTATATAACTACTTAATTGTCAAGCTAAGTAAGGAGAAATCAGATATTTGGTGCTCCTTTTCATTTTAAGTGACTACAATGGGAACCACTTGCCTTTTGCCTGTTGTGTCAAATGCAACCAAGTGCAATTAAATACTGGGCACAAGTCGGGCATTTCATGGCTAAAACGCCTTGTGTGTTCAGTTTTGAAGGGCCAGACTACACTGACATTCACTGTAAGTGCAGGCAAATCAAAAGTGGCAGCTGCAGTGAAAACTGAAACAACACAAAAATATGTGTATTTTGTTTGTGCAGATCTGTTATTGCAAGCGTGTTTGTGGGTGGAAACGCAATGAGACATAAGATGCAGGCTGCAGCGGAATAAAATATTTAACAAAATATGTAATTATTTTACATTAAACACTTACAAGAAAGCAATACAATAAATGAACCATAAATGTCATGCAGCTCCTCTGGACAAAGATCTGAAGTCTAACCACTATGACATACAGCTCTGGAAAAAAATTGAGACCATTCCATATTTAAAAAAATAAAAATAAATCTGCATTTTTAAATCCTGGTTTAATCCTGGTTCTGCTGGCAGAAGACTATGTGGCAGGTTGCTTCCAGGCTCAAATACAGCAATACACAAGAACAAGGTAAAACAGAAGACACTTTCACCACTTTAATAAACAAATTTCTGAATGCTTCAATCAACTATATGTAGCCAACCCCTATGTCTATAAACTATGTCTATGTCTCCAGAAACTCCAGAAAAGTTTATAGTATTTTTTTTATTATTATTATTTTTTTTGCTATATCCCAGCTTGAAAACAGGTTTTTGACTAATGTATGTTTAAAGTTTATTAAAACAAAAAATTGAAGAATGACGTTCTAAACGGTCTCAGATTATTGATGCTCAGTTTGTGCTGAAGAAAAGCAAATGTTGCACTTTGGGATAAATGTTTTTTCGATAGGTGAAATATTTAAAAATGTCAGACTACCTCAAAAGTGGACTTCAGACTCCAGAGGGGTAAGAGGAAGACAGTAAAACGAACAGGAATTTCTTCTGTTCTCCAAAAATGTTACTGATGCCACTTTGGTTCCCAAACCTCTCCTCGGGGGCACCTCAGCCAATCCATTAATTCATAACATTTCACCACCAGCTAAACAAATGGATTAATTATAATTTGTTTAATGAGTCAGTGAGGTATTAGCCATACGAGATGGGGTAGTGGTCAAGCCAAAAATATATATGGGTGTATTGGATAGTTGCTGCAGATATTGGGGGGATTTTAATGGTTAAGCTGACACAGTTGGAGATACAATATCACAATTGTACACCAACGTGTTGGATCATTGAAACCTCATGTTCTTTGACTGCCTCGGACTTTTGCCCAGTGCTGTACACAGGTGAGAGCTAAGCTTGAGATAACTGCATAGGGTTATCCATTTATCTGGCTCCACTGCAGCACTCTTTTGGCTAAATGGGATTTCAACCAGCTACCTTATGGGTGCAGACTCCTTAAACCACAGACCAACACCCCGCCACTCATAACCAGCAGGAAAACGCTTTCAGTCTCGCTAGATGGGTTCAGATAAGCTGCGTATAAGCTGAGATCAGATGCAGGTTTGTGTGAAAGGAAGGGCTGTTCTGTTAAGGATTCTATTCCAAACTCATTCATTCTTTTTTATCTTTTAATGTTCTGCTCCTGTTTTTGTTCAGATTCATAATGGCCGACAAATTGACCATTCAGCACAGGATTAGCGTGTGATTCACAGACAGAGGAGATTAAGCTCAGAGTCTGCTCTGCTAACCAGGGGTGTGCGGCGTACAGCTCGACCCTCATCCCCGCCCCCACCTCGGCCCCCCCACAGGTGCTCAGTCCTCTTCCAGATCCTTCCTGAGTTGCCCACGTTCAGAGAATGACGTAACAGGGGAGCTGTTTGAAATAATGGAGAATCAAAGCGCATCAGGCTCAGAACGCGGAGGAGAAATGTGGGCGTGTGACGGATTTACGAGAACATTATGATCACACAGCCCATTAGAACTCAATTAGTTTGGAGAGAAATTTCATCACAGGACCGAGAGAGTCCATCCCATTCGCATAAAACAATAAATAAATATTTAAACTATGAAAATTAAAACAGGAACAATTACTGGCATATTTGAGAAATTAACAAATTCAATAAACTGTTTTCAGTGAAAACTATACAAAAGTATAAAAACAGAAATGCTACCACCAAACAATACAGAGTAATTTGTAGTTTGTAACATAATCATAATTTTATAAAAATGCAAAATTATTTGTCTCTGCATTATTTGCACAGCTGTACTACAATGCATATATTTAGTAGTAGGATTGATCCTCAACACAGAACTGATGCGACATAGTAAATATTTAGCAGTAGAATTGATCCTCTTTACACAGAACTGACTGTAAACGTGACATAATTTAAGACTATCGTGAAATTTTACATCTAATCACTAGCATACCTTAGTCTCAATATGAAAAATGTAAATTTTTCAGTTTATCCCAATTATATATTTTTTTAATTCAAATTACGTCTGACACAGATCCTAGAAAGGTATTCACAAGGTGTTTGAAGCAATATCATTCTCTGTTGTTGGGCTTTGAGTGGAACAAAGAAATCAGAAATGTATGAAGCACATCATAAAATACCCAGATTCTGTTTATGTGTGAAATTAACCGCTATATTGAGAGGCATGCATTCACAAACTGTGAAAGTGTCATTGAAGTTTCACTATCCAAATAATAAAAATATAATCAAATATTTGTTTCAAAATAAAGGTTTATTTATTTTACCAATAAATTGTACATACAAACATTGAAAATCTAATTGTTCCATCGACTATTTCCAACCAAAAATATCATTTACAGAACCACCCTCTATCATCATTTTTTCTATTTGTAATATTAAACACCCTATTAAGAATTTAGGCTTTTCAGAATTTAGGAATCTAAACAGGTATTTAACTGGTCAGGTATAGTCAGGTATAGGTACACAGGAAACGCTTCCTTGTAATGGAATGACACAACAGCCACATTAATCAGTGGGAATCTAATAAATGCCTATGACCCAGCAGACATTCGCTAGACAAATTTAAACTATTTTTCCATCTGTTCTACAATGTTTGCAAACAATCTTAAATGACATTTAATAGTTTAAAATGTGTTAAATACTGTGATGATATCACCACATCTTGGCCTAAAAGCCCTTCGAAGGAGTAGCTAACTTGTTACTTGAGCTAAAAGTCCTTGGTTGTCTATGTAGGTTGTCTCAAACGAACCTACTGTTTCGCTGGCAACCTGCCAGCCCTCAGAAATCTCCCACTCAGTTTTTTTAAAAGGAAGCCCACTTTTCAGATAACGGTTGCCCTCCAGGTGCCTAAGGAGTTGAGTCACAGAAATTAGCACATGCCAAGACAACATGCCAGGACATCTTCTAAGAAGAAAAACATACCTTTGACCTTCTACCGAAAAATGTTGTTTTCCTGAATGGTACGAAATACTTGGTACATGGTACAATCTGCATCTTCTTTGCCGTAGGGTTGAATGTTGTCAGTGTTATGCAGCTGAGCCTACTCAGTGTATCTTTCAAGCACGAGAGAGGGGGAAGGTCTAGGCATTGTACTTCTTCAGCAGGTCACTCTGCCAGTGTCTCTTACGATCAGGAAAGAGCTTCGGGATGCGGATCTTTTTGAAATCCTCAATGCACTTTTTCAGCTCCTCCTCCAGCAACTTCTTCTCGTCGAGGTGCACGCCTGCTGGGTCCTTGTTCTCTTTGCCTAGTGAGCTGGGTGAGGTTTTGAGGGCCAGCGTGTTGGGTCTAGAAGGACTGGCCTCAGGCATGGAAGGTGAGGATGGTGGTGCCATGGCTGGTGGAGGAGCAGGACTGGGATCTGATGGGGGTGCAGGGTCTGAGCTTGAGGGAGGTGGGGACAGTGAGATCATTTCTGTGGGAGAGACAGGGCTAGAAGCACATGGAGGTAACATGTTAAAGACAAGGTTCGAGGCTAAGGGAGGAGGTGACATTGGGATTGTGGTTGTTGGAGGGACAAGGCTGGGGGGCGATGGAAGGGACATATTGAGGTCACATGTAAGTAAATGGTTTGAGTCTAAGGGAGGTGGGGACAGGGGGATTAATGGTGGTGGAGGAGAAAGGCCAGGAGCTGATAAAAGGGACGTATCGAGGGAAATTAGAAGGAAAGGGTTTGGGGAAGGTGGATCAGCAGGATTTTGGTCTAAAGGAAGTTGGACCATATCTGATAGAAGGTCCATGCTTGGCACAGGTGAAGAGGTGCAGTCAAGGTCACATGACACGGTCATGTTGAGGTCAAGTGGAAAGGGTATATTTAGATGAACTGGTGGGAGAATACTGGGGGAAGGGGGCGAGCCAGGGTAGATTGCTGGTGAACAAGGATTGTTCGAGATGGGGGGAGAAGCGGCACTTGCTGAAGCTACACTGGGGCAAAGAGAACATGTGAGCAGCAGTTCAGGGCTTTCAGAGAGCAGCGGTAAAGGAGGTGGGGGTGATGGAGGTTCACATTGCAGCTCCAACATCATGCTCCCCGCTGATTGGTTGATGGCAGTGCTCATGCATGATTGGTTGTCTGCCACGTGAGCCGTGTAAAGCTGAGGTACTGCGCGCACAGACCTGCCTCCTGGGTAGGAGAGAGAGTGGAGAGAGAGCAAGGCCGGGATATCAGGATTAGGTCAGCGTGCGAAGCGTTTGCCAACTCAACACAGGCAGCATTTCCCATAAAGAACACTGCATGGTAATGGAGAGAAAATCAAAGTGAAAAACAGTTATTTTAGTGCACAGCATGAGCTGATATATTTTAAACTTCCTACCTGAAAGTAAACTTACAGTACATCATTAGTTCTTCGGTATTAAAGCATCCCTTCCCTGCCATGTTACTGTGGTCAGAATCAATACTGTCCACTCCATTGAGAGGATCTTTTTTCATCTAAAATACTCAGAGATGGCTGCATTGTTTATCTGTCAATTGCAGAGCCCTAGACTGTAATCCTGTGAATACTTGGGTGTTAGCGTGAGAGTGTGCACGCTAACCTTCACTTCCTGCACAGCGTGATCGTCCATATGTGACGACTGGTGCCGGCCCTTACGAAAATTAACCATGGTTTTACTATGATTAAATAACCATGGTTTACAATGGTTTGCCGTTTTTCATGGTTTTTTGGGTAACTATGGAAACCATGACTATGGTTTTATCATGGTTTCGCTACAGTTAAACCCTAGTATAATCTTGGTCATAAACCATGGTTTTTGTTTTACCATGGTCTTTCCAAACCATGGTAGTACTATGGGTAGTACTATGAGGTACCATAGTAAATCTATGGTTACTGCATAAAAACCATAGGAAACCATAGTGAATTTTCATAAGGGGGAACACGGTGCTTGTGTGGAATTCAGTACAGAGATGTAAGTTCGCCTTCATAGAGAATGCTTGAGGAACTCACTCGTTTATTTGCCACACGCATCAAAGTGTGCTGCAGTGGGCCATGGGCTGGGGCTGGGGCTGTGCTGAGAGCTACACTGCGCAGAGGGGCCGGGGGGGGCCATGCACGCAGGGAAGGTGGGAGGGGTACGCTACTTGGGAAGATGCAGGCAGAGAGATGGAAGAAATAAGTGAAGACCGACTGAAACTGGAAAAACAACTGAAGAACAGGGGTATGGGGTCCAATCCTGCAGGAAGTTTTTGCAGTTTTGGCTCAAACTGTGCAAATGTTGCTAACACAGGTTAGATTCCCTGTGGCTCTTCACTCAGTAAGTCGACCTTCACGTAATGGCCAGTAGGGGGCTCACTCCATTGTGGGCTCAGAGGCAGCTTCACACAAAACCTCATCTGGTTCCTTCAGAGGCATTATGCCCAGCACAGGCTCTATGTTAACCCCCCCCCACCACCACCACCAGACACACACACACAGCCCACACACAACCTACTGTTGAACATAACAGATATATCTATGTTTTTGTATGAGTGCTTGTGCCTCTGCATACGTTCATATATAATATTTCATTATAAGCACAGATATATTTATAATACACATTTCTTATTATATTCCCTTTTGTCCAATTCAATTATATTAGGGTAAGCGCTCCAGATGGTAAGAATCCAAGTGCGGTATTGATTTCCAAAAGCAAAAACACATATCCTAAAGTCCTCCAGTCATTAGTCACGCAAGGGTCGATCAGATGCAAATAGAGTGCCAGAATTATGGTCAAAATATCCAGAAAAGGAGACACACATAAGAATCATTAGCCGTACCTATTGCTCAGACCCCAGCAAACGCAGGGAGCTTTAAATGTCCAAACAGTTCATGAAATACAGACGAAAACACCTGTGGGATTCGTGTACTGGAGAGGAGGGACGATGACAATCATGTGTGGGTGAGAAGAAACATGCGAAGGTGTGATCCTGACGAAGCCTGGGTGCACATGGTAGATACTGATCACGTGACTCGCACTACTACGTGTTTTGATAGCCTGTGTGGATTCGTTTCTGAGTGGGAGGTTCAATGGTGCTGATCCTTATAAGAAAATACTCCCCCATTTACCACGCTTTCTTTAAGACTTCCCATGTTCTGTCCAATGCTGGTTGGGCTTTTTTTTCTTCTCCTTATCGACCCATCTGTTCCTTGCTACAGCTCTGTCTTCCCGTCATTACCAATAACGGCACTTTTAGTCCCACCATCTATGTGTCAGTCCTGATCAGAATCTATAACGTTTAAAAATGGTTTGCTTTTCACTTCCGCTCAGCGTGACAGAAATTATCGCACATCAGTCGTGCGTTCAGAGAGGAACTGAATCAACTGTGTCCAGTAAGCCCGTAAATTGCAAACGTAAATATGTTCTGATCCGCTCTCCCCCACCTGATAAGTACTTGCAGGTGTCTTGGAGAATTGTGCATATGAATATTCACGCGTCAACCAGCATCTTGGTAAGAGAAAAAAATCCAGCGCGAAGAAACGTATCAGTTTATTTTCAGGTTCGGCTGATCTTTGCTTTCCCGTCATTTCAGTCAATAGCAATACCGTCACAATTGCGTCAGTTTTGCTGAGATCGTGACACATGTAACACAGGATGATCTTGCGAGTTAGTTACGCATTTGAGATATTGTGGCTATTAAATGAACGTTATATTTATATTATATTACTTGTAGCTCTCATAACATTATATTATATTTTTTTTAAATCAGTTCTACACGAGCCTGTAATCTAACAACATAACTGTGTTAATCGTTAGTGCATTTTACACACAAAATGTCACATTACAAGAAACTATAATATACGGTCAATCAAGGCTATCAAATGTGATATTTTTCTGATACTTTATGCATTCCTGTGGGGAAATTGTTTTTCTCATATCATATCTTGCTCTCTTTGAGGCTCACAGACATACAGAATATATGGAGGTGGGAGCAGGTTTTACATTAAGAGCGCAACGTCAGCCAGTGTCCAGCGCCCCTGAACCAATTGGGGCGCGCTCGGGGGCGCGAGAGCGACGCCCCTTTGACAGCCCTGGGCCCCTCAGGCAACCTTCTGAACAGGTATTTGTTTTTAAAAAGGAGCAAAAGGTAATTTATTGTTAAATTAGACATTGTGGAAATAAAATGTATTATTTATATTGCATGCTGACTAGTTTAGAGTTTTTTCTTTGTGGTGACATTGGTAGTTAAATGAACTCATCAGATATTCCTGACATTTATTTGTTTTCGTAAACTATATATGTCTATGCCACTCTAATTTGTCTGCCACACTGCTGTGGTTTGTCATCTTAATTTGTGCATTTTTCATCCTATCAAAACAATTCGTGTTTGCAGATGCTTTGACTTTCATGTTCCTTCTCTAGACATGAGGTCACTTCAGTTTAAGCCTTGGTCTTCTCGAGTGTGTGAATGCACCCTTTTACATGATTTGGTCTTCGGTATCCGACACATCAAGGACTCTCACATTTCCCAGAAGTCCAAATGAGCATCTGTAAGCTTTTATAACATCTTTCTGATGGTCTTTGTTACATATTTACTGTGGTGGAGTGAAGGTGGCTGATTGAGTACATTACTAATTGGCCATTTAATGGGCGTTCCACCATGTTAGAGGGTGTAAGTCAGGGGTGGGCAAGTGGCCAGATCCGCAGATGGCCAGTGTGTATGCGGGCTTTCGCTGCAACTCCCTAATTAGATTACTATAATTAGAGGACTGATTGGCTGAAGAGTCCTCACACCTGGGTTTGAACAGCTGACCTACAGGTTATCCCAAAGACCTGCATACAGACCTGCCCTTTGCGGGTAAGATTGCCCCCCCCCCCCCCGGTGTAAGCTCCAGAGGCTCCACCCCTATCCAGGTCCTGCCGGTAATACTTCTGCAGGTATACTATACAGCAGGGTTCTTCAACTCTGGACCTCGATTCCAAAGCCAGACCGTGTTTTCAGT